GAAAATTATTTACCCCTAAGTAATTTCCTTATTAGAGCAGAGAGCCTTTATCAGGAAACATACCAATATTTTTGACCATATATGTAATAGTTCAAAATTTGTTATTGTGGTACAATTTACTTCCCTTGACTGTAGAGCGATCTCTACCCAAACTAATATTGGGCCACCTCAATTATCATGTGGTGCACATTTTTTTTCGCCATCACTTTGCCACTCAGTGTCATGAGGGCAGCTTTTTTCTTGACATAGGCTATGACTCTCAGCCTTGAACTGGCATCGAGGATGTAGGTAAGAAAGCATCATTGGCATACTTGTGGTAAATATCCAAATTCTGTTAATTTCCCAACGATTCACTTCCATGTAGTAATGATTTGTTCTTAGTATTTTAATTGCATGTCTTTAGTTTTAATAAATTAGGCCTGATATTCTGCTCATGGTGACTGCACATGGGCTTATTATGAAAAGTACAACCCCACTTGTCTCCTACTTCCCAGCACATATACTTCAGCTGATGCAAAAGCAAGTGATGCATCCTCTACAAAATATCATCCCACGCGCGTGCACACTTATATCTCATTCTGGATCGATCTGGGTTCTTACATTCACATTAATTGTAGCCTTATTTCTAAGTTCTTGTTATACATGCATATTATACTATGTCCAGATTGTCGGGATTAGACTAGATTCCAGTAGTCTATGATATTCCTTATACAGTAGATCAGACAACCCTTTCTGCAAGTTAGCCATATCACACATTCTTGGTATTAGTATGAACACTGATGGCAAAGGTGTATTGTAAAATAACGATATTTACTTAACAAAGGGTATAAATCCCAAGGCAGAAGGTGGAACTCGACCACTGGGAGTGCTCTCTCCAAAGGACAAGATCGTGCTCTCACAATTCACACTTCTTATGGTCGGTTTGTTTTTTTTTTCTTTTTCTTTTTTTTTGAATTATACATGTAATCCGGAATGTACTGTACTCCAATAAAAACGTTAAAGAATGTGAATACTTCGCGATCGGTAGAAATTTTAAACCGCATAGTAATACCATCGGGCTCAATAGCAAGTCACTTCTTCAATGTTTGTTATATCTCTTCCAAAGTCGCTTGGATAATCTCGTCCAAATTATCCAAAGTATAGAACTTTGTATATGCTGCGCAGGCAATTGACCCCAACCAGGTTATTTCAATTGCCAGTTAACCTTCGCCCCATAAATCCTTTTAAGAAACCTTACCTTGAGATATTGCACCTCTTCATCGAGTCCTTTATAGGGTGCCCATCTTCTCGAATTTGGTATGAGTCTAACAACTCTCCGGCAAATGTCTGATTATCCAATACTCGACCACTCTTGCTTCAAGTGTCATGTATCGGGCAATGGTGAGGCATCGGAGATTGATACTTCGGAACAAATAAGCATCGAATTGGTGGTAAGTCGTTTTTCGAAGTTGAAAGATTAGGTGGAGGGCGGAAACAGACGAGAAATCATTAGACCATTGATTGTTTAGAAGTTGGATCAACGATCAGTCTCGTTTGCTTAGTAAATTAATCCAAGGCAATCGAAGCCGCCTAAAAAATTTTAGAGGTGTTTGACCATTTTCTCAGCATAGAGATCTCCCAACTCCTTTGTAAAGTCGAGAATTCCTTTTGATGAAGGTCCATTAGATGATCGCCAAAACCAAGGACGCGTATTTAACGATCGTCTATACTCACGTGAAGGAGATTTGCTTTTAGACTTTGTTTTCCGTTATCTTGAAATGTGGATTGAATAAAAATTGGCTTAACGCAAGTTGTACAAAAATACTATCTTATCAAGGAGAGTTTTTAGCCAGAAAAAAAGCGATTTCAAGAGATCTTATCCATTGGAACTTTTTCTCATAGCTAGTATGAGGACGTTTATTAAAGAGGTACATTCAATTCTATCTCTACATAACACTAATGTATAATAAACTGTTCGCTGCATATCTTCCACGTGAAGATAATAAAACATAGTACGCAAATGTAGTACGCGCAAAAGATCATAGTATGTGGATATGCACTCGTTTACAGCAGTAGGCTTACCGAAGTTGAATGTAATTACACAACTTGGGGATCCGAGATAGTTCGAAACTTTTCAATCGTGCTGTACATGTACACACTTCACAAAATTTTGTAGTAGAATTTAGGCAGAGGGTCATTTGCTTTACTCATTTGACATTCCATACCAATTCTGCAAGTCGCCTTCTCTAAGTTGATTTGATCCTCGTCAATTATAATTATTACCAGACTGATTAACCGAGTCAACAACATACCTCCTCTCTTCGTAAAATCTCTCTATCCGCACAAAGGATAATCACTTCGTTTTCTGTTCGAATTTATTCTAACCCAGATGCTGCATTTTATCTACAATCAAATAAATTAGTCAGGCGGCTAACGCGGTAAAACCCGACTGCCCAGATTTCCCATGATACTCCTTTAAAATTTCCATCATTTGGCTTGACTCACCTAAGTCAGTCAGGAATAGTGCATGACTTATTCGAAAAGAATTCGTCGGTGGTAGATTCTGTCCGTGTCGCGAGAATTTGATCTCGTGTTGCATATTGCACAATGTAAGTAAAAGATCAAAGGGTCTCACGGATTCTACGGTCTATCTCCTTCGAGGTGTAGGCTAGCAAAAGAGTAAAGGTGGATATATTTGAAATCGATCGATATCCGACGTACGCATGTAATAGTATTGCATCGTTATATCGACACTTGTAACAACATTCAAAGAACACATACCACGGCATGAAAGTTTGCCTCAGAATATAAGAATTGGATCTGGCGCCTGAACCTAATCCAGAACATACCATGCTTCTCTTGCGACTACTCGAAGAACAACTTATCAATATATAGATAGGCTCTTCAACGCAGATAAAAGCAAGCAAATACAAACCTCCTGGAGCGGAATTGGTGGCCTAAGCTCTATCCTTTCACCCTGTAACATTCACGGCAAATGTTGCGAGCCTATTACTTTACCCACAAATAATCTATAGTTTTCTGCTGTCGAACACACGAACGTCAAGTGCAACAAAAAAAACACCCACTTATTAGTAAAGAGCTTCTAGACAGGTTTTAGTTATCGAGAGCGTACAAACCTTTAGTAAGGCCTGTCCAGCAACGGTTTCAATTACATCCGTAAATCTTTCTTCTTTCACATTGATTTCCAGATAAAGTGGTAAGTAAACAGGCAGGTTGTTTGAATCGATGTCGATTGCGCCGGAGCTATTGTACTGATCCGCGTACGGCTTCCAAACGATGGTCGTCCACGACAGTGAGAGAGACTTGAGCCTTGATATAAATGAATATATCGGAATAACAATTAACTTCTCATCTTTCTATAATTATAGTTCAAAGGTGCGTAACTCAAACTTACTCGATCTCCTTGAAGCAATAACGCCTCTTGTTCGGCTTGCTCTTTGTCCAGGCGTCATTTATTTGTTCTAGATTATCATTGATTACGTTCTATAGGTTTCATATTAATTAGTTACCCCAAAACCGATATCATTATTCCTTTGCAAAGCCAAATACTAATAAAAAAAACATACGATTTTATTTTGAATGCCCGTGGCATTATATCCCGCTGTATTTCACGACGTAATAGATCTGTACGCACCTCTGGTATACATATGATTGCCGATCATCACGTGAAACACAGTAGAGAAGTTACATTGATATTGCAATAACTTGCAAATTGAAATCTTATAAATTTATTTCTATAGTAACAACGGGCCATTTGTATACATCATGATAATTATTATTGTGAGAGCTGATGTTGAAATCCAGCTGAAGCTGAAACTAACCAATGGGATTAGAGAATAAAATCAGATCAACCAATGAAAAGTCATAGTTTCAGCATCAGCCGGATTTCAGCATCAGCCGTGACAATTTATTATAAACTCATATAGGCTGGTAGATACTAATCGGTAAAATATAGCAGATACCGACATGCTTAATGAAACGCTTAGTTGACCTTAACATATTTGTTCTTATTGAGTAACCGCTAAGATTGGCGTTAAAATTTATGCAATATACACATTCAGCTCGACAATAAAATCAATACTGTTATCTTGTAAACTTCGGCACAGACACCGGACAAACGACAATTATTTAGATAGAAACTGCATTTATCTGCGGTACATAATTCACGCTCCGACGAAGAAGTAGTGAAGTAACGCCTATCTGGTTTTGGAAACACAGCAATTTTGTGTTCCAAACATCTTCATCCAAATGTAGTCATCTTGCGTTATTCGTTTTAGGAATAGCTATTTCTAATTTTTCTTTTTGTCAAGGCGGAATATTTAACCGAATAATAATATTGTCAGCAGCTCGTTTTGTTGGGGTGGTTTGTTTTAATTTGGCAATAGGTATGCACCATTGCCATACACAATCAAAATGTTGTCACTAAGATATAATCGCAAGAAAAGTGCATCAAATTACAGCGTCTTTCCAAACGGGATGCATACTATTCTATTACTTATACTATTATTTAGTAATAATGTACAGTGCGCGTGACTAGTCAAACTATATTATCAATATTATTATTATTTATCGAAACTGGCATCTATAATTTGGTATAACATACTATCAATAATAAAGTCTATGACCACCAGCGGTGATAAGTAAATAGATACAATGTGCTATATGTTAGTGCATTTCTGTAATGTACCAACAGGTTTTTTTGACTTGTCAATCCATCAATTTATCAGCACATCAGTTCTGCTGAGATATAAACTCGAAAGTGATGAGTAAAGTCATAGTGTTATTTATTCTCTATAATGGACAAAATCATTTTAATACATTACAGTACGACTATATGTTTGCGATTCATCCTAACCACATGAAAGAAAACTCCATAGAATATAACTAAGTAAGTATTTTAAGTCTGGTTTAACGATCTCATTTCCTACTCACAGTTTAGTTATTTGAGTCTTTATTGAAACGGATTTGACTCTAAATTCAATACATATAAGACAAATAACGTATATTGAAACTTATTAAACAATTTTTCTGTTATTGCTATTTATATTATGAATATGACCATAATTTAAATTTGGGTTCCAAGAGAATGCAAAATTGCAAAAGGATAAACCTCTTTTTTTTGTATATACAAACTGTTCCCTCTATACATCTTCGTTCTAAAAATAATGTTTAATATAGGTATTATAACCTTATAATTTGAATTTCCAATGTTTACGTAATCAAAATTTACGCCCGTGTATTACGCGCTCCTTTGTTTTTATTTTTCCTTTAAACTATCTTTAAACTTTTTCATTCTAAATATTTGATTCTGCTCCCCCCGTTTACTTTAAATTTTTCTTGCCTTTTCTGGGGTTTATTTTCTTTTAATTGTTCATCTTGACCGAACGTAGACCACTCCTCGAGAAAATATATCGTTGCGTTTCGTCTCGCATTCCAGAGAGTAATTGGCGATGAAAGAAGCCGCTTGTTTCGGAGGCCTGTATATATGGCCATTTGCATTTGATTTAGATGCAGGCATATTACCGCTAAAAGGCCGGCCTCCGTTTAGGAGGCTTGTACATGTGGTGGTGCCCACAGTTGTGGACATACTGGACATTGTCGGAGAGCACATAATGAATTAATTAATATATATTTTTGCTCTCTGGCTTATAAATAAGCACGTCAGAGTTTGAAAGTTTCTTTTTAACTTGGCAAGAAGTTAACTGAGATGTGAAAACGTATATGAGGTTTGCGTTGTTAACGAATATTTGTTATGTCTTACGTTCGCTTTGTGCAGAACCTGAGTATTCTCATGTCATTATATATGCTATTCCCAGCAGACGCATTAATTGGGTGTATCGGCCGGCATGTTTTCCCTTCACGTATGATATACATATTGTTCCTTATTGTCGCTGCCAAAACTTGTTAAGCATTTGTACCTACATGTTTGTCTTCATTATGGTCGGTATCTTTTATGGTGGTACGGCATACTCTGCATATTTAATGACCATCATCAAATCATCATCTAACACGAATTCAACGTGTGATTTGTAAGGAAATATTAATATCTTATTCTGGTATCATCATAATGGATGCCATAGATTGTGTGCACCGTGAAATCTCGTGCTCCGCAGTAACACATTACACAGGTATGCCAAGCATCTGCACGTTTCTCCGATTTGGCATAGATGAACAAACGCAACAAGATACCCAAGTGTTGCTAAGGGGTCGTCGATTGTCTCGTTGTCAGCAACTCAGATTCTGCGCTTAAAGAAACATAAATCCTCTTTCCCATACATTATTTAATACTCCTGCAATTTTAATTTGCGATATCGACAGACGAGACGGAGCGGAGAAAGGGCAGAGAACAAAGTTCTCTTTCATTCATGTTGCCTGTGACTCTCGAAAGTTATTGTGACGTCCACTTCCGCAAGTATTCACAGTCTGAAGGCAAGTATTGAATAGTGAATAGTTGCATTCATCATCATGTCTGTCAATAGTGTTATTCAATTATTATTATTACCTTTTTTCCAGGATTACTACAATACAGCCCAATCATACAAACAAACTTCATTGAGGGTACACCACCTCCCAGGTTGGGCTGCTCAGCAATAATTCAGTGCTGTGTAGCAAAGAAGAAAACTCATCTATGACCTGGCAGTTAATATGGTTGGAATAAAGATATTGAATAGCATTCCAGGGTCTGATTTGGTGTGTGTGCAGACCTGGCTGCTCCCACTTCTACAAAAGTGGAACATACACCAACAAAAAACTAGATAGAAATAAAGTAAAACAAACACTAAATAGAGAAAATTTTTTGCAATCATATACATATTCTAATACAGAGTCTTATAAATTATTAGTATTAGTGTTGTGCAAAGAAGATAAAAAAACAGAAGGGTTTAATTACATCATAATCAATCATAAAAGTAATGAGTTTTGTTGTAAATATGACTCTTCAAGATAAATGTAAGTCTATGACTTAGTAAATAAGAACTTTTTTTTACTAGAGAAAGAGAACTCTTTTTGACATTACTGGCCATAATTAAAAAATATATATATATATTTTTTGTTACAAGATGCTATCTTTATTTGGGATTTAAGGTAGTATTTCTGTCACCAGAAGAGGAAGTGGTTGGGAGCAATATACTAATACCCCAATTAATATTAATACTTATGGCACTTGAATCACAAGTTTAAGATAAATTAGAGGATATTCAAATTCTGTGGTGTATTTTAATTTGTATGTGTAGTGATTGAGTATTCAGCATAGTAGTATGGTAAATTTAATTAATATTAAAGGGAGTAATTTGTATAAAGTGTTTATTATTATGTTGGCTTGTGATATAATCTAAGTTTAAAATGGTCAACTGAAGGATTGAGTATGGTTGTGTTAGAATAGAAAATGGACAATTACATTTTTGTTGCTGTTCTTTTAATTACTATCACTATCTATATCATTAACATTACATGTGTAAATAAGATCAATATCAATGGAGGTAACAAAGATAATGCCTTCAATCTCCTATACTAATACCTCCTTTCTCCCCCATTTTAGGTTACCATCAACAGGGGAATGCCCAGTCCCAAAAACATAGGGCTTTTCCATACAATACTAATCCCCCAATATCATTCCTCTTCTATCTTCACCCTCCCCATCTCCAAAAGTTAAAATGAGCTTCAGATGTATATATATGGTTCAGCAATAAAGTTGTACTTATCCAAATGTTCAGTGATCATAATTGTGAAATACAAATTGCATCAAATACATATTTACACCCACAACTGTTTCTATATCAGCTATTTTTGAGATTGTCATATGTCAAACACTGCTAAATGGTCATGTGGGCAAAAGAAAGAGCTTATTAAATCTCTGCTAAGACATAGTAAGTATCCTTCCAGATTTCTCTTAAATAATTATAATAGGGAGCCAGGATAAAAGAATCTCTGAGGATATGTGTCATTCGGAAAATAACTAGTACTAGATAGATCTTATTAATATATAAGTATAAGGTTATATAAGTTTTAATTTGTGCTCAATATATAATACTAAAGATACTTGCATTATTAACCTGTGCCCAAAGTTTGCATTAGGCATACTTTCTGGATCTTCTGTGTTGTCTTATAAAATCCTTTTGATTAAAATGATGGCTGCCCATATACTTTTCATTTAGAATTTGATTCATATGGTATATTCTGGAGGGGTGAAAAAAAACACTGAGTAAAGTTCTGAACTGAGCCTTGACTAATTTCAAGCATGGTTTCCAGTTGGTAATAACTCACTGGATTTACTAGACGTAAGTTTATTTTTCGTTATCATGTGTCTTTGGACGTTCAACTCACTCATTTTCATTCTCATTCTCGTTTTCAATGAAGAGTAGGGTTTGATTATTGTTTGAGGGATAATGTGTGCTCAGGATTCGACGCGCTTTCAACCTTATAATGTACTGATTAATGTTGTGTACTGATTCATGACTTCTACTACTCAATCCCGCATTTGTTTACAATCCTTCTAAATGTTTCTATGCATGTGACTGGTTAAATTTAGAACTTTGTGCATGTGACTGTTTATATTCACAACCTATTACTTATCATTATACAGTTAAGGGGGTAGCTGTGATATTGTTGCTACAGTTAGGGAAGTCAGTCATGTTAAGCTTTAATGTAATAAATAGGAAGGAAGTTATATCTAGAGCTACAGAATCTAGTAAGTATGCGTGGGGGTTGCAGTGATGTTATGGTTTTCGAGGATGCTTGTGTTTTTCTCCTTTGGGAGTTTGTCCATCCACGCCTGAGCTATGATATTTAAAGGGGAGGTTATATCTATAGAGCTACAGAATCTAGCAAGTATGAGCTTGGTTTATTGGTGACATCCAATAACAACATCGGATACTGACTACCCTTTTATTTATAATGTTTAGAAACTGGAGGGTCAATGGGTTTACGTACGCTTTATGTAACGGTCACAGGCAATACATATTATTAAATATGGGAATTTCTTTTTTCTCCGATAGTACTTCAACTATTTCTGTTCTGATGCTTTGACATTCTGACATGAAATCCCATAGAACTTGGCAAACTATCAAGATTGAAATTAGATCAGAAAGGTAGCTCAATTACCTTCCCCAAACGAATGGATCACCCAAAGCATACATTCACCAGCCCAAAGAAATTGTCGTCAGCATGATCTCCAACCTAACCTCCAGAATTCACGTAGACAAGTATCCTGACAACACCCCCGTGTATTGTAATCACGCAGTTAATGGTATGCCCGTCGTCTGCAGGACGTATTTTGCGTCTTCACAATAGGAATTTTTCATAACAGTAATCGATTGTACCATTACTTTTACTAACTTTTATTCTTCCCCTCTTTAAAGATTAACTAATTTCCAAGTCAAGATGAATTTCTTATTACATGGTTTGCTAGTTCGCTATGCTTCGCTTCCAGATGTCGAACGTTAATTATCTGGACTGAGGCAGTGCTTTAAATTAACTTTTACGTGCTTTGGATATTGCGAAGCTAATGAGGAGAATTAATGTGTGGCGATATTTAAGTAACGATAATGTGCATAATTTTCTATCATTATCGAATTATATTTAATTATTCAAAACTTGGACGACAATGTTGAAGGACGATTCTGTAAGCGTTTTTTATTCGTTGTATTCAATCAAACTGTATTGAGAAGAGAGCGTGCATGATAAGCATAGACATGTTTATACCGACGTATACGTAATTATAGATATGAACTTGCAGGCGTTTTTATGCGAACATTTTTAATAATGTAAGACTTTATTTCCAAGCTACATGTAACATGCTAGAGCTAGTTTTTTATTACGCGAACATTGATTAATTGTTTGTATCCTATTAATATTAATCCTTTCTTTTATTCCCGACTAAAAATAATTAGGGCAATAGAATAAAACAGTCAGCTTTTGTTTTGATTCAATTTCTCGACAATCAGTTTCAAACGATCAAATCTACACATCTTGAAACCAATTTTTTTGTAAAATGTTTACATATTACTATTTAAAAAACCCACCACGAAAGAAGAAAAAGAACATATACAATGGAAAGTTAACCGAATGTAAATGGCACTGATACAGACAGTAACTGTCAAGTGCCTCGGATTGATGGCGGCATTGACCATCTTCTTTTCCCAACATTGTCCTTTTAAACTCGCCGATAAATTCTGATGTACATTTCTCGCCGTGCTGAATAAGGTTGTTTATGATGACATTTGGCTTTGCACTGTTACAGCCTTAGACTGTTTATTTCCCGCCCGTATTCGGATCGGGACGCGATGTTTGCGTTGACGTCCCCGAGTGTTTGGGACCTTGGAGTGCTTGGTTGGGATTTGGCAAGGAGTGCGGCCATTTACGATAAGTATTCGTAATTATTAATCTCCCAAGAAGCGGTTTCGAGAGTCAGAGTCAGAGTCGGGATCAGAGTCAGAGTCGGGAGTGCTTGGTTGGATCCGGCAAGGAGTGCTTGGCTTGGTTGGGATCTGGCCCGTTTACAATAAGTATTCTTCGGGACAATCCCCTAAGAGTACGGTTTCGAGAGTCAGGCGTCGTCGGCATCAGCGTCAGAGTCAGAGTCGGGGCCGGGGTTGGAAGTTGGAGCGAGCCGAAGTCAGAGTCGAAGTCAGAGTCGAAGTCAGAGTAGAAGTCAGAGTAGAAGTCAGAGTCGAAGTCAGAGTCGGAGTTAGAGTCGGAGTTAGAGTCGGAGTCAGGATTGTATGAAGTTTGAAATAAGATTTTGTGTTGTAAGTTCGTATTTGATTTTTCTTTGTAAATGTTGTCATATTAATCTTGTCAAAGATGTGGGGGTGATACCGTAGACCTGTGCTTATTTATAAGCGAACGACTAGACAGGGCGCATCTATTTTTGGGTACAGCAATACACGACACGTAATTTGATTGAATCATTCACAGACGCGCAAAGCAAGTCACTTTGCTTAATCCGAATAATATGCACGTTATTCGCGTAATCATTTCATGATTATTGTAGAACATTCTCTGCTGTATTACGCAAATTGGACTGGGTACAAACAAGAGTACATATATAATGCATTGTTCTGTTATGGGAACATTCTGAAACATGACACTACTACACGGTATGATGAACTACCGACAATCGGTATCGATACTGATTTTTAATACCACCAGCTTTGTTTCACAATAAACAACAAAGAACTTGCATGTTGTGTATGTTGTGTACAGTATTAAGGATGGACTATGTAATACGAGTTTTCACTTACACAGGTCATCCAATCGCTTGCATTATCAGACACATGTTTGTACGCCGCTGAGTATGGGAATGTGAAAATATCTGATCGAGGACATGATAGCAATAACGTAATCAATGAAAAATGGCTTACGCAAAATATGCTGTATATTATAATATTATTTGTATCATATGAGCATCTTGATAATAGTATACTTGTTGGAGCGTTTTCTCTCTATCTGTCAGGACTTGGTTGACTTGAATGCTGTTTTCCCAATATACAATCTCTTGCATCTCTTGCATCTGTCCTATGTATCACCAACATGCATATGTTTATGTTCCACAATTGTGCATAGAACGGAGAATGAAAACTCGATTTCCGCAATCAAATGACAACGTAAAGTTAATATATACATTATTATGTGTATTAAAAATAGTTTGGGATAGTGCTCTAGTATCTAAATATTATCCTCGTATTGATGTAGAGTGTATTTGGCATTGGTTGATATGCCTTCGCTATTAAGCATACAGGTTATATGCATGCAAGTAAATAGATCATGCAGCATTGTTAACTGGTGATCGTTACCATAACAACCGATAATCTTCCGTTGGAAAACTCTTGGACAGATGAAAGAATTGACTCCTTGATAGAACGTTTGTGCCATATATGCAAAAGTCAGCATTACAATATTGCGTATTTACAAACAATAAAACTATAAACTGTATACTTATTAGATGATAGGTAGCAGTTTCGCAATGAACCATTACAAGTAGGTTCTATTGACAGGAGGCGTTGGTTGCATTGATGAGTAGCTGTGATTATACCAGTCCGAAAATAGTTAATATATACGAAAATCAGAAGTTGTTTATAAGCATTCAATTATACTATTTAACCATTGCTCAGCCACACTCTCTGTTCGATGTTGAAGTCCTTTGTTTTCTTTCAGAGACATGATCTGGTTGAACATGACACAAGGAAACATTAAAATTAACATGCCCAACAACAGCTTTTGTAAACTGATAGCAGATCCCTACCAAACAATCTGTTTTACTCTTACTCCCTCAAATTACACTCTTAATAAAAAATTGTCCATCTTCAATAACCAAACCCTTCCTTTCATTTCGGAGCAAAATATGCTCACAAGGGACGTTGTGGGGTTACTCCTCTATGGCCCTCTATATCTCCACGAAGTAAGGATATAATCGTGCCATGAATAATCTTTCTTAACCCTCGGATGAAGAATGCATGCATTCAGAGAGGGAAGCATCTGAGCGATGTTAGCAAACGTTCGTCTAAAAATTGATCCATTATATGGCAAACTCTCTTCATAATGCCGCCCTTGGGTATGGTGGAAATGTTATGTTAGGAAAAGTTAAGCATGGCCACCACGGTGGGCCTGCAACAGCACGGATGAAGGTGGAGTGAGTGGGTGGGGAGAACCCGACGACCAACCAGAATAATTCTTAATGGCTAGAATGTCAACCTGTTGTTTATACTTAAATGATACATATAAATAAACATACCCTTTTCACTATACAAATTGTTTTCTACCAGATGTGCGAAGTCTTACTCTAGAACGGCATATCTCGATCGCATTACATTGATCGCTCTTATTATTATTCAATGCAACGACTATAAATATATACGTACACTATGTATCCGATCAAGCTATAACAATAAAAATTACGATTTATTAATGCAAAAGTATCTGACTGACTGTTTACCATATATTTATAACCCACTCGAAATAATAAATTGCGCTTTCCACAAACGTCGAACAATAGATTATATAAATTTTGGGTTAGACTTCTTCGCGGTCAAAATCTGGTTGGTTCGGTATAACAAATGGATTGACCCATCAATTCCAAAGAGGCAGTACCATCTCAAACGCCTTATAACCGACGTATCTACAGAATTGCAATATTAATATGTTAGCTGCGAACTTATCTTTGAACTAATATCAAATTTACTTGCTTCGTTGACAATAATTAAAGTATATTGCGCCTAAACAGTCCCATGTTAATGTAGAGCAACCCCAGCCCCCACGCCTCTCCCAATAACGCAGTCAATGTCTTTCTTTTTTTTTTTTAGGAAGTCTCCACACATGAATCCTGCCATCAGAGGAAAGCAAGACTCGCACCCCATACTAACTTGTATCAACAACCGGCAGTCCATTCTCGGTGCTCTTGAACCCATCGGATTCGATCTTACTTTTTTTCACGGTTTGTGAGCCGCGAATAATCGTTCATTGTCATATCGAATAACTGAGTGAACAAATCATCCGGTTTTCATCGAATAATCAGTTTTATCCGAAAAAGTTTTCAGTGATGGTTAAGCTCTCATACTCGGTCTCTTAGCTATCTTGCAACGGTCTCATGCCATTCTTGTTATTTTGTCCTTCAATCATCTATACAGATCAATTACGTGACTACAGAAATGGACACGGGAAAGTTGAAGATGATTAATGGTCGAATTTTCAGGTGTTCAATAAAATTTTATTTTCTAGAGGACTTACAATGTCGCAGAATATTTTTACATTTGGATCGGGAGCGTAATCGTGTGATCAGTTGTACTCGGAACATGGAGCAGCATGGAATATTTCCAAGAGACGATTAGTTTTTTATGTATATGTTCTACTAGTCGCGTGTCGAATGGCTTGCTTTACGAGACTCGCGTTGTTTGATTACAGAGGTGGAGCTGTATCAAAAGGGTAGCAACTGAAGAATATCGTTGAAGTTACACTTGATATCGTACGAAGGTTATAATGAACATCTTGTACCGTGACTCTGAGATACCAATTCGCTGTTGCGCTGATAGGAGTTTTATAAATATACTTTAATAAAACGTTCATATAAACACTGATTCATAAGCGATACATACAATAGGTAAAATACAGTATGTATAGACATGGCAGACGGTGTCCCACTGTCTCATTTCCAAGATCACAAGCTTCTCCCTTGTTGAAGTATGGCTTACGCAGACTCGTTTCTGACAAAGCAAGAGGATATCGAAATCCGTTTGGCAATTATTTCGACGACGTTGCCGGATCTGAATAGAGCAATAAGTTTTGGAATGTGTCATAAAACACGCTTATTTTGAACATGTTTGGGATTTTAGGCCCCATAGTATAATAGCAAGCAAACAATCCAGGTTTTTCCAAATAACTTGGTGGAGAAATGTGCGTGGCGTATTCGTTCTGACGAAGCAAGAGGACGTGAGATTTGGTGAGTGATTGATAAGTCATAAAATACGCTTACTTTTGATTATAGGTACCCCATTTTATAATGACATGAGGGAGGGCAGGCGTTTGAAATACCCATGTTACATATGTGCAATTGTTACAAATGTATATAGTATTAATATTAAGCGATGCCGATCCTCCAATACTCGAACTCGAGCAATCGTGTTAATCCAAGATATAGATTCATGGTTTGACCGTAGGACAACCTTCAGAATCTTCTATTTGGAGAAAGCAATCCCCATTATGCAATATGACATTGACTGACTCGTGCAACTTACAGCCTTGTAATTTTGCATACTAATAGCTGTGATTCGAAGGTTTTTGAAGAATTATATATGTTGGGTATTAGCAGCTTCTACTTCAGGTGATTGACAACTCCTTTATTATTATCAAACTACAGAATCTTTGGGATGACATACTCATTCCCATTACTATTACACAGATTCAAGCTTGCCAATATGTATGGGGCTGTGGCAAAACTTTTTATGAATGAGAGCAATGAGGTGTGAAATATGCTAAGAGAGCATCATCCTGCTCTTAAGATCTTTATCTAATAAGTCTGCAAGACATGGGAGGTTGAGACACAGAATAACTGGTCACCTCACAATATGAACTATTAGCAGCACATATTAGCAGTGATCAGACAATGGTTTTGTCTAAACATTCCATCAGCTGAATGGAATACACAAACACATTGATCAATGCAGAAGCCAATGATGAACATGTACATGGCACAACTTAAGCCCTGACAGTAAAAAAAGTTATGTGGATGATGCATGGCAGTCATTGTGCAATTTTAAATCAAGTTGATTATTTAATAACTCAAAAGAAATAACCTAATTCAAAACCTCACTGTACCATTCTAGTATAATACCCCCTTGATTAGTACTTATTATTATATACACTCCAGAAAAAAGTTTGTCCCAAAAATTATTTTGCAATTTTTTCTCAAGAATGTTTGTCATTAGCATTATATTTAAACCCAAAATTGTCATTAAATTTATAGATAAATTTATCTCTCTTCCCTTTTTTTCTTTTGTCTTGAATCACTTAC